AAGTAAGAAAACCGCCGGCAGGGGCGCGGGCGCGGGCGGGAGGGACGGCGGAGGGGCTTGGGGAAGCCGGCAGCAGTGCAGTGTGGGTTTAGAAAACAGTCTTAAAAAGTGCAAAAAAATAAGTCATTTAAAAAATTGTTTTTAAAACCAGCTCCAACTTCCTACCCCTTCTCCTAGATGGACAGTCTTGGGGGGCTCGGGGTGCAGGCCTGCCTCACCGTCCGCTGGCGTGGTGGGGTGGGGCTGACCCTCGTGGCTGCCCGTGTGTGCACATGTGTGTCTGTGTATGTAAGTCCCACCTGTCCGGGATAGGGCGGGCAGTGATACTGAGGCGGGAGCAGAGCTCGGGCCTTCTTCCCCACGTGCCTCAGGGCCGGGTTGTAGTTTGTGCAGCGTGCTGGCCGGGACCAGGAGTCGGGGGTGGGCCCTGCCCTAACGTCCTTTCCAGCCCAGGGCCCCCAGAGCCAGCTTCACCGCTGGCACCACCCCGAGGTGCCCCTCCTCAGCCAGCCTCTGCCAACCACTGCATCATATCCCTGGCACATGGCGCTCTGGGTGCAGGGCTACTTCAGCAGGGCTCTTCCTCGTGGCTCTGGGCTCTCCGGCCCACCCCCGCCTCTGCAGTCCCCTCAGAGGACCCCATGGATGGCCGCAGGCCAGTGAACCTGGTGCAATGGGGCGCCGGGTCCAGCCAGTTCTCTGTGGGTGAGGACAGGAGGTGGGCACAGAGACACGGCCCTCCCCACGTGGCTGCCTGTGGACAGCCTGCCAGCCTCGCCTCCGCTGCCCACGGTCTGAGAAGAGGCTAGGCCGTGTCTGGGATGCCCGGCCAGGCTGCACAGGGAGGAGGCAGGACCAGGGGCTGTGCTGCCCTCCCAGCTGCCCCGGGCCAGGCCAGACCAGGCACAGGCCGCCGGGAAACTGCATGTGCCTCTGGGCGGTCCACTCTCCTGGCTTCTTCGGGGGAAGCCCCTGCTCTGCAGAGCCAGCCAGCCGCGGGGTAGAGTGTGTCCTCTGGGCTTCACTTGTTGTCTGAGCAGACGCAGGAACGTCTGGTCCCTCTGCCCCACTTGTCGCACTCAAACCCAAGTTCCAGAAGAGACCCTGCAGCGACCAAAGGCCTTGCTCAGCCCTGGCCTGTGCGACGTGGCCCTTGGAGCCCTCCCGGGACAGGCCGCCCAGCAGCCGGGGCAAGGACGCTGTACCAGCTACTGAGGATGCGGGGACTGAGTGGGGCCTGGCTGTGTTCCAGGAGGGGGAGGAGGAGGAGGAGGGAGGGGGGCCAGTTTCCTACTGCTGGGCGGGGGAAGGGAACTGCACAGCTCTCCACCCCTAGACCCCCGCCTCACAAACGGGGACACGGACACGGAGCTGTCTGCATCTAGCCTTTAGCCTCCTGGAGGCGGCTCTGTGGCTCAGATGTGGCCCCCTCAGGCGCCGTGAGTGTCAGTCGGGTTGCTGGGGCTGTATGTGGGATGCTAGACAGACCTCTGCTCCCTTCGGGGCTGTGACACTGCCCGCTGGCCTAAGGGACCCTCCCCACCTGGTAAGCCCCGGGCAGAGGAAGGACGCCCCCCCCCCCCCCCACACACCCGGCCAAGCCCCAAGACAGAGGAGGGACAGCCTGCCCTGTGCCACC